TGGGGTATAATATTGGAATTATTAATCGGTCCCATTAAAATCGGTTAATTATTTTGGGGTATAATATTGGAATTATTAATCGGTCCCATTAAAATCGGTTAATTAAATAAAACATCACAGTTGCTCAAATATTTGTCGGTGTGAATATATACATTGAATTTTGGATTTTTTTCTTTTTCTTTTTACAAAAAATGCTTTTATGTTCGCAAAATAGAAAGTTTTGACTTCGGTTGATTACTAGGATTCTTTAAAAAAAAATACTCATTTCGTCCCATATTTATTTATTCATTTATTTTTTACACGTAATTTTAGAAATATTAGTATTATATTAAAATATAGTAGGAATAAAATAGAAATAACTAAAATAACCTTATTAGTATTGTGTGATATAAAAATAATGATATTTGTGTAATATATTTTGTAAGTTGTAAGAATATTTGTAATGTTAGATATATAGTAAATAATACTTTATTTGAGACGGACCAAAATAAAAAAATTAATATATTATTAAGGGACAGAAGGAGTATAAATTAAAAGTTTATATAGTAGTTTAGTACAAATAGCACATACTCCCTTCGTCTGTCTCTAAGGTCACATTTACCTTTTTCGCAATTGTATTTAACATTAAAAATATCTTTATATTTGTATACTTTTTTGGACAAATATCATTTTATTAGTATTATAGACACTAATGAAAGTATTTTTTCAATTTTATTAATTTGTACTATGTTTTGATATAATAATTAGTATTTAAAGATCAACATGTAAAAAGTAAATGAGAACGTTAGAACGGAGAGGATATAGTATATATTTTGTAAAGTTGGAGTATGTGTTATATATTTATATTTAAAATATGTGAGTTATAAAAATATATTATGTGTTTTATAAATAAGTTTGTTTTAGTTTCTATATTGTATTTTTATTAGATTAATATAAATAATAGGAGTATGTTTCTTATAATAACATTATAGTATATTTTCTTTTAGTTCATTGTGTGGTATTAAGTACCATAAATTTTAATTCGTGTAAAATATGTGTTTAATAGAAATATATCAAGTGCTTTTTATAAATATATATTAAAAAAAATATTTATATAGTGTTAGATAAATTAGACCTGACAATGAGTGGATTCGTATCAGGTTGAATATTTTAAACGAGTTAAATCACTTAACTATAATCTGATCCGTTTATTATCGTCTTGGGTTCGTATTGGTCCATGTAGATTTGTATACATAATTAAGTCGAAGTCCTTAATTTAAATTCAGTTATTTTTTATCGTGCTATCGTGTTAGTTTTTATTGATTTTAGTGTAACGTGTACAATGAATTAAGTTGAATTATTTAAAATAAACTTAATTTAAATTAATATGTGAGCTAATTATTAAATTAGAATTATTTTACATATATAATTAATATATTAATTAAGGGAAAAAATCAATTTTGGTCTCAATATAACTAAAATTTATCAATTTTGGTCAAAATATAAAAAAAACTCATCAATTTTAGTCCTATGGTAAACATTTTTCATCAATTTTAATCCTATGGTAAACAATTTTCATTAATTTTGGTACAACCGTTAAAAAACTAACGGAAATAGTTGACGTGGACATAAGTAACGGGGTTGGTGTGACAGCTGACCTGGAAAGTACACGACTATGTTATCACACGACCATGTATATTTCAATATACAAAATTATACACGGTTATGTTATTACACGGCCGTGTACCTTTCTGTTTTGGTCTAAATTTTTATTTTTTTGTTATATTCTTTTTTTAAAAATATTTTAAATTTAGAATAATTAATATAGTTAAAATGGAAAAAATCAATAGTAATCTTAATATAATTAAAATGTATCATGTTTAGTTAAAATATAAAAACTTATCGAGTATGTTCTTTTGAAAGATTTTATCTAAAATTTTACTATTTACCAAAAAAAAATTCTCTTAAAAATATTCAATTACACTACTATTTTTTTATTTTTGTATATTATTGTAATAAAAATTAATTTTATATTTCGATACAAAAAAGAATAAATATTTTTATAAAAGTAAGATGTATTTAGTATTTGTATATGAATAACTTTTTATTTTTGTATATTATTGTAATAAAAATTAATTTGATATTTCGATACAAAAAAGAATAAATATTTTTATAAAAGTAAGATGTATTTAGTATTTGTATATGAATAACTTTATTATAAAGGACATATATATTTTGAGTGGGACAACAAAAAATGTTAAATAGGTAGATTGTGTTGAGACTAAGTGAATAATATTTTACGTCGAATTGTTGACTTTTTGAATTTATAAAATATACTCTTCTATCCTAGATAAAGTGTCTACGTTACTGTTATACACGAGAATTTAGATAAAGTATAATTAATAAATAATAAAAAAGTTTATTGATAAAAAAATTATATATTAAAATTAAGACCAAGATTAAAAAAAAAATTATAAATTATAAAATCTAAAGTATAATTAAAATATATAATCATATTTTCACAAAAGTAAAAGACAGACGGACAGAAATAGAAAAGAAAAATAGACACTTTATATAGGACGGAAAAAGTATATTATATCTATATCGGATTAATATATATATTGTATTTTCTTAATAATATTTATAAAAAAATATACTTAAAAAAAATAAAGTAAATAAACCTATTAATATAAAAACATATTAGTATTGTTATGAATAAATGAATAATTTTTATTTTAAAACTATTTTTACTATCTTCGAAAGCATTTCAATTCTAAACAAAAGGAAAAAAAAAATCTTTTAAAGTTCAAAAACAAAAGCCTTTTTTTTTTTCCTTTTTTTTTTTATTCAAGAGTTGAAGTCTAAGAATTTAAAAATATTTCTTACACCGGATTTACTAGAAAGCAAAATAGGATTTACTAAGCAAAAAAAAACTTCTATAATTAAAAAATCGGATCCTTTTTTGTATTTTTGAATTACATTATATATGAAAAATTATATTGATAATATAAACAATAATACTTTGTATTGAATTATTAATTTTTTAAATAAATAAAATATACATATTATATATATATTATGTTAATGCATGTATATATTTTCTTAAATAATATTGATAGAAATTATGTGGATTAGAAACAAAATGTGAACAAACCCTTTCATTGTAAGTTTGAAAGTTAAATTTTGAATTTTAAATGATAAAAAAATTAATTTAAAATAAGTGTTTCCATGTAATATAATTATATAAATATGTATAAGGTAATATTTTTAAAATAAAAGTATTTGTTAATGTTATATAAAAAATAATATTTAATTTAATATATATAAATATATATTTATTAATAATAAAAATCAATTTTAAACAAACCACAAGGGCCTTTTTCTAACAGAAACAAAAGTGCAATTTAAATACTCTGTTAGGTTAACTTTTTCATGTTGCTTTTATTTGTATATTGATTTTGATGTCATACGCAAAAGTGTAAACGCATTATTTACGAAATAGCAACCTATCTCTATTACATACCATATTACATACCAATACTAATTTGCAATGATTCTTTTTAGTGAAATATTTACACAAATTAACACAAATATATATATATATATAATTCAACGTAAACTGTTTTTTTAGTTTCGTAACTGGACTTCTTATCATTTTAGTCTTGTAAGTGGAGTATGTCGCAAACTAGTCCTATAAGTGAAAATTTTTCGCTGTTTTAGTCCTCCGGCGCCGGAGATGCCCGCGTGGCTCGCCGGAGGTGACGTGTCCGCCAGGTGTCGCTGACCTGGCGGACATGTGGATTTTTTTTTTATTTTTTATTTTTCATTTTTTAAAACTTATTTTAAATTTTATTTGTATTTTTTTATTTTTTTATTTGGTCCAATTAAAAAAATTTTAAAAAAATTAAAAATAAAATAAAATAAAATAAATCCACGTGTCTGCCAGGTGTCGCTGACCTGACGGGTTCACCTGGCGGACACGTCACCTCCAACGAGCCACGCGGGCGTCTCCGGCGCCGGAGGACTAAAACAGCGAAAATTTTTCACTTATGGGACTAATTTGCGACAGGCTCCGCTTATAGGACTAAAATGATAAAGGGGTCCAGTTACAGGACTAAAAAGACAGTTTACCCTTTATAAAATAAAAAGAATTTAACACAAAATATTCGATATGTTCTCTGTGTTAAAATATCCAATACTACATTTCATCAAAAAAAATTAATATATTACATATATTTATTATTTTTATATTATCTACAATTCTATATACTTCACACAAATTTTTTTTTCTTCAAAGCAAAACATAATACAAACAAACTTATTGTTTTTTATATTATCAATACAATTCTCGTACTTTTTATATAAAGAATACATCTATCCAAAAAGAACAAAATCATATATGTTTTGCATATATTTTTATTAGAAAAAATAGCCTTATAAATTAATCATAATAGTTTTCATAATAAAGAAATATTATTAAATAAATTTCATATAATTTTTAAAGCAGGCATTGTTAATTTAGATGTATCACAACGCATTCAAAAAATTATATGGGTTTGTACTTCTACAAGTTTTTTGATACTATATTCAATATATGTGTTAGAATTTGGACAAAATTATAAAATTGTATTATATAAAAAAATAAGAGATTACAAGATATATATAGTAGTGAATTCAGGACTAAAATAATAAAATAATATCAAGAAAATATTTAGATCTAACATAATCATATCAAAAAAATTTCTAAATCTAACATCCCGTCAAACTCAAAATGGGGTAGTAGAGACCAACTTGAGTTTCTTCAAAAGTAATCGGAAATGGCTTGGAAGAAGAAACATGATGAAGATACCTGTTGTCTGATTTGCAGAGGATATTGAAACGAGATGAACTCCTCCGTTGACAACATGTTGTCGAATGAAGTGGTAGTCAAGCTCAATATGCTTGGTACAATCGTAGAAGGTATCATTATGGACCATCTTTATAACACTCTTACTATCGCAGTGAATAACCGTCGAAGATGGCTAAGGGGCACCAAAATTAGTGAATAGTTGACGAAACCATAAAAGTTCTGAAGTAGAGTCAGCAGGAGCACGATACTTTGACTTGGCACTCAAGTGAGAAACCAAAGTCTGCTTCTTGTTGCGCCAGAAAATGAGAGGATCACCCAGGAAGAAGTATAAACTAGTGGTCGAACGACGATCAATAGGATCACCTGCCCAATCAGCAGAGTAACCACTGCGAGTCAAAGATGAATGAGAGGAGAAGTGTAAGCCATGCATAAAAGTACCATTCACATAACGAAAAATATGTAAGACGGCGGAGTGGTGAGAGGTCCTCAAAGCAGCCATGAACTGACTCACAATATGGACTGCATTAGCGATATCTGGTCGGATGACAGTCAAATAGATCAAGCTTCCAACAAGCTGACAATAGAAGGTAGGGTCATCAAGAAGAGAGCCATCATGAGGAGTAAGTTGAATGTCATAGGCAAGTTGTGTAAAGGCTACCTGACAGTCTGTGAGACCAGCTCGAGCAAGAAGATCGGAGGCATAGTTAGCCTGAGATAGAAAAAAACCATTGGGAGAATCAGAAACTTCAAGCCCCAAGAAGTAACGAATGGGACCCAAGCTTTTCATCTCAAGCTGCTGGCTAAGATATGCCTGTAGATCAGAAATACCAGACGCATCATCTCCCGTAATGATCATATCATCAAAATAAAGCAATAGTATACCTATCCTAGATGAAGAATGATGAAGAAATAAGCCAGGGTCGTAAGCGTATGTGGTAAAACCAAACTCCAATAGTGCAACACTAAATGTGGCATACCAAGCTCGAGGGGCCTGATTCAACCCATATAAAGCGCGACGTAAACGACAAACATTTCCAGAAGACGGAGAACCTTGAGGATGAGTCATATAAACTTATTTAGAAAGTGTGCCATGTAAGAATGCATTTTTTTACATCTAACTGGAAAAGGGACCACTGACGAACAACAACAGTGACAAGAAGACAACAAACAATAGTGAGACAAGCAACGAGAGCAAAAGTCTCCTCAAAGTTACTATTTGGAATAACCTATGACCACAAGACGAGCCTTGTAGCGCTCAATGGAACCATCAAAATTAGTCTTGATTTTGAAAATCCACTTGCACTCAGTAGGTGTCTTTCCAGGAGGCAAATCCATTAAATCCCAAGCGTGAATTTTTGCCAGAGCCTCTAATTCCTCAGTAATAGCTTGTTGTCATAATGGATAAGCACTCGCCTCACGAAATGACCTTGGCTCATGATAAAATAATATGACAAAGTAACAATGATAATTACGCAAGTGATCAGGAGGGTGACTTACTCGATGTGATCAACAAGGTATGACAGGTCCAGGGACCGCAGACGGATCAACATCTGAAGACAAGGTCGGAGGTGGATTAGAAGCCTCAACTGGATGTGCATCATTGGTGTTTATTGAAACAGGATCCGGAGGTAGTGATGGAGCCGTAGGATCAGGACCAGAAAACAAGGGAGAACATGCCGACATGAAGGAAGGTGAACTAGAAATAAATGGGACATGAAATTTAGACAGGTTGGAAAACATGACACTCTCCCAAAATGTAACATGAGGAGATACACGCAACCGTTTAGAAACCGGATCCCAAAGCCTATAACATTTATGCTCTACCCCATAACCAAGAAGACAATATAAACGCGCACGATTTTTCAATTTGGAACGTTCATGCGGAGGGATACCGACAAAACCGAAGGGACAAATGGTACTATAATCGGGTGGCTGATCATATAGACGCTCGAAAGGGGTGCTATTATAACAACAGTTAGGGTGGCTTTTCTTCAGAACCTATTAGGACAAGAGGCAGACAAAAGGGACATACGAACAATATTATAATGTGATGATGTTTGCGCTCAGCGCGACCATTCTGTTGAGAGATGTATGAACATGAACGCTGAATCAATGTACCTTGAGTAGAGAGAAAACTTAATAAGGTAGAATCTCTATATTTAAGACTATTATCAGTACGGATGGTCTGTATGAGATAGGAAAATTGAGTTCGAGTAATTTGAGCAAATTCAATGTATGTTTGAGGTAATTTTTAACGGTGTTTCAAAAAATATATCCATGTAAAACGGGAGTAATCATCTATAAAAATGACATAATAACACCACCCACTCATAAAAGGGATATGAGAAGGACCCAAAATATCAGAATGAACCAAAGAAAACGGTTTACTTATGACCGACATATTTTTTTTTTGAAAAAGATAAGGCTGGTTGTTTTCTCAATTGACAGTATAAACAATCAAATGACTAAAAACGAGTAGAACCTAAATGACCCTTACTAACAAGACACTGAATTATAGAGGAAGACGTAGGACCAAGACGAAATTTCCATTGAAGATTAGGAGAATGAAAGGTAGTAAGAGGGGTATGAGTAGTAGCAACAGAGAAATTACCGGAGAAATTTTCAAAGATTGTACCTCAAATAGTTGACCCACGTTTTAATATGTCATAAGAATTTGACCCGTATGTGGATTCTGAACCTGCACACCAGAAGAAAGAAAAAGTAATAGTAAGTCCTTACTCAACTAGTTGGCCAACTGATACAAGATTTAAAGTCAATTGAGAAAGGTTGTAAGTATCATGAAGGGATATAAATGGTAGATATACAGATCCTGAATGAGTGATATATATGCGACTCCCATTAGCAGTATGTATAGGCAATGAAGAAGATACATGATGCACTTCGGTCAAGAGTCCAAGTATAGGTGTCATATGATGACAACAACTAGAATCAAAATACCACAAATTGTTCATACTAGAAGGAGAATTGAAAGCAAGAACTTATGCAAGAGAGTCACGAGATTCTGAACTGAGGAAGTCATGCTAGTAACAACACGAAAATTAAATCAACTCCGATAACAAAACCAATTACCCCTCGGTATAAATCTCAAAATCAAATCGAATAATCCAACCGGTAACAATCACAAAACGAAATCAACTCCGATGACAAAATCAACCACACTGCGACGTAGGGAACCAAAGCAGGAGGCGGCGGCCGAAAAATGACGGCCGGAGGATGACGGACGCACTGCCATGCGCAGCCGAAAGACGGTGGCGGCGGAAGTATTTTCTCTCGCGATTTGCGTCGGAGGTGCGTGTGGGCCCCACCCGCCACTATTGGCCGAGATATTTCGGTGGCAAGGTCATCGGATGACGGCGGTTCCGACGGTGTTGGTGGTGTTGACCGGAGAGCAATGATGACGACAAACAGCGGCGGCTAGGATTTTAGTTTTGAAAATTTGGGCTCTGATTCTATGTTCGAATTCGGTAAAAAATTATGAAATTGTATTACATAGAAAAAAAAAAAAGAGTTCACAAGATATATATATATATATAGTAGTGGACGCAGGCCTAAACTAACAAAATAATATCAAGAAAATTCTAAATCTAACATAATAATAAATATATTTTTTTAAGACTAAAAAAATTCTATTGTTATTAATGACGAAAGTAAAGGCCTATAAATAAACATGACATACAAACTCGATAGACTCAAACCATAAAAACAAACCTAATGGATAAACAAAAATATAAAACAATTAAATCCAATCTAAAATTAAATAACTAAAATATCTCAACATCCTCTCAAACTCAAGTGGTTTGGCAAAACAACTTGAGTTTGCAAAGAGAGATCGAAGATAATGCAAGACTATCAATGGAGTCAGAAATAATGGCACTCTCGATGGAGTCGGAAACAATTACATTCTTGATAGTCGAAAACAACGACATTCTCGATGGTGTCGGAAACAACAACACTCTCGATGGAGTCGGAAACAATGACACTCTCGATGGAGTAAGAAATAAAAGCATTCTCGATGAAGTCGAAAATAACGGCACTCTCAATGAAGTTGAAAATAATAGCACTCTCGATGGAGTCCGAAACAACGGCAATCTCGATGAAGTCGGAAACAACAACACTCTTGAGAAACGTGGCGACAAATCGTAGACTAATACGCAAACATGACTTCAATTGTAAACAAAATAAGGACTCAAAACATAATTAATATTAAGACTAGAAACCATGGCCAAAATCTCAAAGTTGGAAGACCTCCGAGTACATCCCGAGTTGAATGTAGTTGGAGAAACGCGAGTTAATAGACTATAATACATCATTAGAAAAGTAAACGCTGATGCCATATAAGAAATAAATTGTTAATACTAAAAAATTGCATTGTTATTTATGACGAAAATAGAAGCCTATAAATTGGCATGACATATAAACTCGATAGGCTCAAACTATAACAACTAAACGTAAAATCAAAATATAAAACATCTAAATCCAATATAAAATTAAAAAACTAAAATATCTCTACAATATATATATATTGTATATTTACAAAAAAATCAATATTCAATATGAAATATTATTAGTGTTTTTATTTGAATTTATTTTTTGACGTGAGACATAGATAATCATGTAAGTAATATAAAAGTTAATATTTAATATTGATTTGTGACTTTTTTAAATAATTAAATATATATATATATTATAAATCATATCGGAAACAATACTGGAAGAACAAAACAATAATGTTTGTGCTGTTTCCATGACATAACAAAAAATTTAAAAATACATAAATAATTAATATACTTTTTTCATCCGGTTACAAAGTATTTTACTTTTAATATAGAGTTTAAAAAATAATATTATTTTAATTGTAGTGGATAATTAAAAATAGTAAAAATAATTATTTTTTTGTGTAAAAATAATTATTTGATGGTAAAATAGAAATATTTATAGACACTACAAAAAATTAATATATTTGTAACGGAATTCCGTCCCTAAAGTTAACGTAGCTAATGTAATTTCATTCCTAATTCCATCTCTAATGTCATTAGTAACGGAAAAAGTAGACTTAGAGACAAAAAAATTTTGTTACAAAAATGATTTTTTCTTGTAGTGAGAAAAAATAAGTTATTTAATAAAATAAGTACTTTGTAATTAAATAACTCAAAATAAAAATATATATAATTTATAAAAGACTATATAATTAAAATAATGTTGACTTCAAATTGTCTCACGGCTTAGAATAATTCTTTAGGGTGTGCTTGATAATTAGATGAGAACTTTCAACCGATTCAATTAGTTATTTGTATTAAAATACTCGGTAAACAACTATTTGATATTAACTGTTTATACAATTGAAGATATTTTATATTTTATTTTTTAAAATATTCAATTATATTCTTTTAATTAAAATTCTTACTTATTAATTATTGAAAATTGTGAAAATATTATAAAAATATTTATTTTTATTATTTCTAGAATTGAAAAAATATTGTAATATATTTTTATTAAAAATATTAATAATTTTTAATTGAGAATAATATAAAATATAAAATAATAAAGTTCTTTTTTTATATATATTTATTATGTTCATTTTTGTTTGGGGGATTTTGTGGGATTTCTACTATTCCCACAAAATTTTCCCTCCAAAAATATCAAATCAAACATTTATTTTTCAGTTTTTATATTATACTAAAAATCAATTTTACATTCAAAACATCACATCAATTCTTATTTATATCACATCATACAACTATTCAAATTTAAAATTTTTACTATTCAAATCCCAACCCAAAATCCAAACCCACAAACAAACACACCCTATATTTACAATTTCTAATAAATTTATTTTATTTTATTTTTTTAATATAATAAATAATATTTATTCTTTTTATTTTATTTTAATTTTTTTAAATTTATATATTTTACAAGTAACATAAATTATATATAAAATTTTATAAGTTTAATTATTTTAGAATTTATAAATAAAATTATAGGAGTAATTTGATATATAAAAGAGAAACTTGGATTAAAATCCCTGTCAGACAAATATACTTGCAA